GTCTTAAGTCATCCAGATCTCAAGTCGATAGATCGACCTACCATCCTAGGAACCTACCTAGCTACTCAACCGAACTTTTCTAAGTTGAGCTAAGGGAGCTCCGATCTTTAACCAAGATATGCAGAGAGCCCCAATTCGGGATGGAGTTCTCTATGTTATATCAACTACTCCCCCCCGACTTTGTCCACACGAATTCTTGAGCTTGGGGCACAAGTCGAGAAAGGGGGCCCTCACAATCGATCCTCACAATCGATTTTATGTGTGTCAGACATGCCTAAAAAATGGTACATGTCGGCTGTCGTATCAAAAATCAGACTTTTCGAGTACCCTTCTTTCAGATTCCGTGGCAAATATCATCCACCGTTATTTTTTAAAATAAAACCACAAATAATACGGTATTTGAGCAGTCAACCTTTGATCTGGTCTCTTCTAAAGTTTTTATATCCACTTATCCACCATCAGACTGGAAAATGTAATCGTTGATCAAACGGTCCTTGACACCCTAGACTGACATAGCCCATTTTGTTGCCTATAAAACAACTTGTCACTCTTTTGTGTCACTTTTTCTACACCCTCTACGAAATCAAGCATTCATATACAAAATCTCCAGCAAACCTCTAGCAATTCTCGGCCAAATCACCTACTCAAGCTCGACATTCAACGACAAATGGGCATGTTCTTCTAACCTTCCCTTTGTAATCTGTTATCTATCGACCTCCGTGTGAGCCTTATTCTCGTCGTCTCCCAATTTCCCTTTTCTACCTTAAAAGCCATGTCTCATAACTCACACTCCGATCGTAGTATAAACTAGAATGAACTTTCTGACACGTCATCCTCCTCCATTGCCATTCTAGAGCTACATTTTGAACCATTAGTTGAAATCCCCTTTCGAGCTTCTGGACGAACATGAGGGTGAGATCAACTAGCCACGGTGGAAGAGTACACACCCTTCAATCTCCTTCGATCCCGAGAGCCAGCACGACCACGTGCATTTCCCCTCAGGTCGACCCTACGTGCATTTCCTCCAGGCAAATCTGTACTATTAAAATGTTTCGCGAGCTTCCATTGTCAAGTTTTGGATTGGGTCACTCACTTTAAATATGTGATTCATTGGAACCAAACTCTTTCTCTCTAAATTTACATATTTTTGTGGTAAATATTTACATATAAATTATTTATTTTTATTATTCTTATGTATTATTTATAAGGTAAAAATTTTATTATATAAATTCAAAATATTTATAATTAATTACACGGTTCAACAATCAACACCCGGAGGCCAGCCCCGGTCACGGTCAAATACAGGTCCGGGTTCAAAAAACACTGCCATGAACTGTTATGTGACACTTACAGCTCTGCAACCCTCTCATATCATTTTCATGAATCCTGTTTGACAAACATCATGTAATCTCATGTTGCATACTAGAGTATTTTCGCCCCAATGCTCGAATATGTTGTGAATTGATCAATTAGAAGTTCCCCGACAAGAAGATTTTGATAATGAAAGTGCCCGTCATTTTAGACATAATCAAAGAAACGAGCTACACTGCAGAATCTCCTCCTTGTTGAAAAATAAAAATATCGATACCAACATTCAAGTAACAAACGAACCATCATCGTGTTAAATTGCTCGTCACCTATAAAATAAAACAAAAATTCAGGGACTGTAATATGAAATGAAGTAGGGGAGACTATTCAGCTATGAAAAAAAATCATTATATTAACTCTGCCTAACAATGTCAGAACTCATTTGAGCCAAACAAAATAACAGGATTCTACGAAATTTTCCAGCAAAAGTCAATGATGGCAGGCTGTAAACATTTTTCTTAATAATAACTTAAACAAAAAGAATAGGTTCAAAACTTTAAAAAAACAACTCTGGCTAAGAAAATGACAAACTTAGCATTTTTGCCACTCATCCTTCACATCCATTACCTTCTCCTTTTCGTCTTCTTTTGCTTCTTGTATTGTTCGTAAAGATTAAGTGACATAACAGTACGGTCCAACTCGGACCTCAATCTCTCGTTCGCCTTAATATCCCGAATCAACCAGAAATGTTCAGCAAGTTTCTTCCTAACCTCATTCTCGTCGATTTGGCAGGTCAAATCGAGGTCCGACCCAGCTTTAACAAGTGCTTTATCATTTCCCTTCCTTTTCTTGCCGCTCGTTTTTTTCACATCGCCAGGCGGATCGAAGGACTTGCTTTCCCTTGATAGGTCCATGTAGGCTTTCTGTGGGGAGACGTGCGTGTGATACACCTGGTTATTGGTCGTGTTCATGGTTGAGATGCTAGACGCAATTGTTGAGACAGATGGATGATAATGTTTGGTTAAAAGGTTGAGCTCCCAAAGAACAGAAGCCAGCGCACCACTTCGGTTGGGGTCCACTGCGTGAGGTTGGTATTTCTGTAATAAAATCAGATTTGATCAAAAATATTGGAAACAAAGGGGAATGTATGCGAAGAAATTAGAAAAATGTGATGAGATTCAAACTTTGCCCAATTCTCCCCACTGAAAATAGTATAGAATTTTTAAAAACCTACATGAAGTTTATGGCCCGAGATATGAAAAGACGGTTGCCTTTTACAATTACATTCCCTTGATAATTATCTATCTACTGTATAATTAGGCAACTCACTTGCCATTTTTAGAAAGTTTTATGTTGGTCCTACTCTACTCTTACTATTTTAGGAAAGTCTCACATTCTTTTGACACGTGTTCTTATTTATATTAATATTAACTACCTCAAAAATAATATTTTATTTGTTTTATCCATAACTACCCAACACCCCGTTATTTAATGATTTGACACGTGTTTATCAGTTTTGGCTCATTTTTACTTGAAAGGTACTTTTATAAAATTTTATTATATTTTTATTAAGATTTTAATTTAAATTAGTTATCTAATTTTCATATTTATACTGTATAAATTAAAATAATTACAAGTGTCCGTATGCTTCTTGCCTGACTTTCATAAATTTTTTTATCTTAAATTTTGTACATAAATATTAACTCTAATATTAGTGAAATTAGATAAAAAAAATATATTTTAAAAACATGCACAATGAATAACACACAAACATTCTTCATAATAAATAAATAAATAATTAACAACATGTAGAATATTTTTTATTTCATTTCTACAACCTACAAATTAAATCTAATAATAGAGAAATTAGATATAAAATGTTTTAAAATATGCCTAATGAATCACACAAACATTCTTCATAATAAATAAATAAATAAATAAATAACATCATGTTTGTAGGACCAATAACATAAAGTTTTACCGATTTGGCTAAAGACTCCTTTTGTAAGGACTAATTATTTATATTTAAGTTATTGAGTATTAATTTGTATGAATATTATACCTGAAGAAATATATATTTATTGTATGAATCGGTAATTATATCTTATTCATATAAAAAATATAATATATATTTTAGTTATTGAGGAGTAATTTATATGAACGTTATACCTAAAGAACTCTGTGTTTACGCATGACCAACTTTATGTCTCATGTTCACGAATTACAAATGGGAAATGATTGAAAATATTAAAATATGTTATGATAAAAGTACCTCAAAGACGAAGAACGTTGTATATAATTAAGTTTCAATATATTTCATCGTTATGCATTTGTATAAATTGCAAACGCTCTTGTAATTTTTTTTTTTTTTTTTTTCGTAGCTCCCGTGCATTTGCACGGGCAACTGTACTAGTTTTTACTTTAACATTTGCATTATTGGTCTAAAACGTGAGTAACTACAAACCTCAAAGAAGTGTATGTAACACTAACGTATTGTTTGGTTGGGGAAAAGGAGACGGGGTGAGGGGAGGGGAGGGCTTTTTAATTTTTCACCCTTGTTTGGTTGAGAATTTGGAGGGGGAA